CCCCCCCCCCCTTGGTGGTTGGGCCCCCCCCCCCCCTGCCACATAGTTCCCCCCATGATGTCCCTTTTTGCTGCCCCCTTCTCAGCCCCGGGACCCCCAAGCTGGGCAGTGGATGCAAGCCCATGTGGCCCTTCCCCACCCTAAACAGCACCCTGACCCGCTCGGTCTGTGTCCGAGAAGGCCCCAGAGTGGGTGTGCCCAGGGAGCGGGCACCCCTGGTTTGCGGGCACTGCTGAGATGCGGGTGCTCCAGGGATGTGGGTGCTGGCAAGATGGGACTGACAGGTGCTGCCGTGTCCCAGTGGAGGAGGAGAATCCATCCTTCTGGAACGAGCAGGCGGCTGCAGCCATTGAGGCCACCTTCAAGATCCAGGCCAGGACAAACCAAGCCAAAAACCTCATCATCTTCCTCGGGGATGGTGAGTCCCGCTGCAGACCCGGCGGGCAGGCTGGCATCACTGCTGCCCTGCGGAGCTGGGTGAGGGAGAGCACCCAGTCCAGGGGGTGACCGGGACCCTATCTCCTCACCCAGGATTTGGGATCCCCACCATCACGGCCACCCGCATCCTAAAGGGGCAGCAGCAGGGGAAGCTGGGCCCCGAGACCCCCCTTGCCGTGGACGCTTTCCCCTATGTGGCTCTCTCCAAGGTCAGTCCCTGCCATGCTGGGCATGGGGCCAGGGTGATGCCCGTGGGGCTGCCGGCACAGAAGCATCCCAGGGATGCACATACGGGGTGCACGGGGTCCCTGCCCATCCCACACTTGTCCTTGGGCAAGCAGATGAGCATGGCAAGGGGTGTGGGGGGAGGGGTGCACCTCACAGGGTGCCTCTGCCAACCGCTCCCTGCTCTGAGCCTGCCCCGTGTCCTCGGCAGACGTACAACGTGGACCGGCAGGGGCGGCCCTCGGGGACCTACGCCCACGTGGTGAATCGCAACTGGTACGCGGATGCTGACATGCCCAAGGATGCCCTCAGCCAGGGCTGCAAGGACATCGCCTGGCAGCTGGTCCACAATGTCGACATCAACGTGAGAACCCCTGCATGGCGGGCCGGGGTGGGGGAGGGGAGCAAGGGCAGACCCCCCCGGGGCACCTCTGCTAGTGCTGCGCCCGTCTCGTCCCCTCCAGGTGATCTTGGGGGGCGGTCGGAAATACATGACCCCCCTGGGGACGCCGGACCCCGAGTATCCCACCTACGAGACAGAGAATGGAGTGCGCAACGACAGCAACAACCTCATCGACATGTGGCTGGAGGCACGGCCGGGGGGGGGACCCCGGGGGGCGG